ACTCTCCACCACCGATCATTTGATATGATTTATAATCTTAGGCCACGTGACATACTGACTTTCTATTCATGTTAGGAGCTCTCTAAAGATAAAAAGCACAAACTGAAAATATATTTCAGGGAATACATTATGCTTTCATAAATCCTGGAAGAGATGAATGCTCTGAAAACATTGCTATGTTGAGGTTCAGTTCAGTTTAAATGAAACTGGTGATTCACCCCTTAAAAGGTCAGTAGCTGTGACCCAGTATTGCACAGCAATACTTGAGAGCAGGAGATGAAAAGACACATGAATGCTCTCGATCCATCGCTCCTTCTGAGTTTGTGTAGGATGATAAAGACTTCTATATGAGCCTGATAGAGGACACATAAAGGTGTCTGAGAAGTCAAATGTGAAAGATTGTAGAAAGACGCTATTAGAACTATATTATAATTTTAAAAATATCACATGTAAGATTATGAAAACAAAAGGATCATCTAAACGGTAGCAGCAGTCTAGTGGACAGTCAGCATGATTTCTGAAAAAGCATGTGCTGGAAGTAGGCTTTCAAAGATATAAATAACACCACAGACAGGACAATAATGCTCAGAGTGAGATGACGTCATTAGTTATTAATGTAACTGTTAGGACCACTGCTATGTCTAATTTATATTAAAAACTGGGATTCTAATACAGTTAGTAAGGTTCTCAGGTTTGGAGACAATATCAAAATAGGAATGTTATCAAGTACCATAGTAAATTTAAAAGGATTTGCACAAAAAATCAAGACAGATCAAATGCTTGGATGAAGTACTAAATATACTAGAAGAAGAAGTTAATATGCACAATGCTACATGGAGGCTGAAAAAAAACAAACCAATGTAAGATGAGAAGAACTGAACCAGAAGAAGTTACTCATGAGGTAGGCTTGGAGGCTTATTTTACCTTCATTTACATCTTTTATACAATTAAGCAAATGTAAATTAAACTGCAAAAAGTGCTATTACAAAGGCTAACATGTCGAGATGGCTAAGATATCAAGACGTCTCAAAATGTTTTACATTGGAGGTACAGTAACAAATTAGATGCTGGGAGTTTCTCAACATCTGGATGGAACAGGATAGGTTGCTAAAGGCATCCAATTTTTCAGTTTGGCACCAATGCTGTCTTGTCACTACTGAGCCGCAAGAAATATTGTCACATCCAGGTTTTAATACTTGATGAGCAGCTAGCAAAGGCAGTGACAACTAGATCTGTGTCTTGTGATTGCATGAGCAAAAGTGTTGAAGGCAGAAATGCGATTGAGCAGAACTAGCAGGGCCAATGTACCCAAGTCTGAGGGCACAAGGAGGTCATTAGCCACCTTCACCAGAGATGTACTGTACCAGTGGTGTGAAACTGACAGAAGCCTGAATGAAAAGGTCTGGAGAGCTTGTTTCTCATTAAATGATCTTGCAGTTGGGAAATTGCCACTTGCTGTAGGGCATTGGCTAGGAAGGGAAGATTTAAATGGCAGGTAAGATTCAAGGGTCTCTTCAGTACAGGTGTAAGTCCAACAGGTTTAAGTGAAGATGGCAAAATACCCAGATACAATTTGTTGATCATCACTGTGATAATGGGGCCAAAGACTAAAAACCTGGTACACAGTGAGCTAAGAAAGGGATCAAGATAACAGAATTTATATAGACAGAATTAGACAGAACTTTACCACAAAATTACTCTCAGTCAGTGAGGAGGGTAATTTGTGATTGCTGTTGATTTGAATTGGCAATAAACTTGATTTTTTATATTGTTTACTTTTATACTTTATCACTCCCCCATTATGTCATAATCTATTTTTACTTTTATAATACTGTATGTATACTGAGAAAAAAAATGCATCATTTATTGCCTCTCTTGTAAGAATCTTTTCCATCTCCCTCTTTGGCAATTTTACTCCACCTTTACCAGTTGTTCTCTTTTTTTACCTTAGAAAATGGTCATGATTTCCCAATAGTTCTATCACTTTTTCTTTAATTGTTTCCTGGTCCTTTGAAAATTAAAGTCAATACAAGTCCCCTAGATAGTGCTTTTAAAAAACATGTTAAGAATTCAATAACAATTTCAACCATATTAACATAATAGAACATTATGTTCACTGCAGATCTTGCTGATCTCATCATACTTGCACTGATGTGTGCATTAGGAGGTTTGCTTTTTACATCTAGTGTTGTCCTTTGACAATGGCTGGAAAAATAAGATATTTTTGAAGTTTTAGTTGAAGTTTGTGGTGTTGCAGCTCTCTATACCAAAATACCCACTGGTAACTACACAAGGCATAAAATAACACTGCACTGCCGCACTGTCAAACAGTGCAATCCATGTCACGGAAATGGCACTTAAAACAACTAAAGCAGTGAACATGCACCCAACTCTAGTAATAATTGTATGCACCATAACCCTTTTGTGGCACATTCTGTAGATTTAAGGCACTTGGAAGATGACCAGCGAAAAGCTGTCAAACAAGTGTTATATGAAGAGCCTACAGTTTTTGCCCATGAAAAGGATGACATAGGTTGTGTTCTGAGCTTACAGATGGGAATTACTTTAAAAGATGACTGTGACAGGCAGTCAGCATGAGTCAGCGCCTAAGAGGAACCAGCTGTCAGCCACTGTGCTCCTTATACCTCCTCCCTGTTTGAGCTCCTTGCCCCTGGATGGAGCAGCTAGGTGAGGTGGAAGGGGAGAGGGCTCCATGCACCAGAGCTCTGCGGGAGAGACGGAGTGAGAAAGAGACAGAGGATCTGGTTGTCAGACAGACTGTCGGTCCGAGATGATCTGAAATAATCTACCGTTTTCTTTTTTGCTTTGGAGTAAAAGAAACCTGAAGCTCCTATTTATTTTGAAACCTGAACTAGTGCCATTGCTTTTATCTACTCTGAGACAATGACATCCCTGTTCAGAGAACCCAAGTACTGTATAAGTGCCACAACTACACTACCGAGTGCTGAGACAATACATTCAAGACCCGTTGGCCAGAAGATGGATAGTAAAGTCAAAACCTTTTTACTCATCCCCAGTAGAGTGTGTCCATAAGAAGGATTGGACTTTATGGCTATATGTCAATTACAGGCTACGTCAATACCCGACAGCCAGACCAACACCCACTGCCACAGATCCAAGACCTGACAGATCTTTCGGATGGTTCTCACGTGTTGATCAGCGCAAGGCTTACCACCAAGGATTCCAGGAAAGGGATCTTGACATCTGACAGCACTGACTACGCCTTGGGGGTTATAGGAGTGGGTGCAAATCCCTCTGGGGCTAAACAATGCACCTGCAGCCATGCAGCGAGCGGAACTCTACCACACCAATACACAAGACTACCCAAGGATTGCCAAGCCAGTCTAGGAATTATTCCAGGATGGCTAGCACGAGAGGAACATCCTCAAAAGCTTTTCCAAAAGGAAGTACAGTAGGCCCTGCTGTCATCCAGGACTCATTAAATGGACTGAAGGGCACAAGAGTATACTTCTGAGACTAATATATCTGTTCACTGGTCCCCAGCTGGTATCCCAGCTTCAACTTACAATTCATACGGCACACCAATGTATTTAAAAGGACTTGGAGCAGTACTTTATCACTGTGACAGGGTGCCTGTTTTTTTCAAATGAATGTTAAATACTCCAAGGCCTTTCCATTATGGAAACTATATTAAATTATTTTATTTGTTTACCAATGGTCCACCACTATAAGAAATACGAGTAAGTCCCTTTAAGGGGGGGTGGCCCATGGAAGGAGGAGCTATAAAGGGACTGGGGGCACGCAGCAGGTGGATGGTCTCTTGGAGAGAAGGTGTGCTGAGAGGAGCCTCTGTGAGTTTTGGATTCTATTTGATCCTAGTTTGAAGGAAATTAATCCAGGTTTCCCTGCATTGGAGGACTGCTGTTTGTTAATTAAATCAAACCCAGTTGCTTGCTTGCTTGGTGACAATCAGGCACAGAATGGGGAAAATGAGGCCCACTGAGTCTTGAACACTACCACTGGCTGAAAGGAGCTCCATGCAGAAAAGCTTGAATTTCTGTAAACAGTCTAATGCCATTCTGTACTCTACACATGGTTGGGCCTCTTTCACTTGTTTTGTTTAAAGCATTAACTGGCAATCAGAATTATCTGACTCCTACACCATCTGTGTACTGCCTGTTTTCATTAAGTATGCTTAAAGTAAAGCTTTCTAGCTTGTGGGCTTTTATCCCCATTATTAAAACAGTGGTGCCTTCTTTTTCAGCTTGTAGCAGATTTCACAGTGGTGAGGTCCTGCCATGTCAAAAGACATGAATTCTGAAAAAATACACTGACAAGGCAAGGTGGGAAACTGCCTGTGACCTTCTTTGTATTGGTTCCAATATTTATTTTTTGCTAATTAATGTGAGATTTATACTTTAAATTTGAAGTGAAAGGCCCTGAATGTGAAAATGCTTGCAGTGCTGTGGGTTTTCACTAGGGGCCTCAGTAATGTGCATGTGTTTGACATGTTTCATGTGGATACCCCAAGTGAGCTGTCTGGTCCTCTGGTTAATCTGTGCCTTCATGGACAACCTTTATATTAAAGTAATTCTATTAATGATTGGGTGTTTAAATTCTATAGTTATATTCAACTATTGCTGATGTTTTAAAAATGAATAAGAAATTGTTCCACCCTGTGCCTCCCTAAGGATTGCTGCATTTAATCTGGTCAGCATAAATATTTAAACAAGATGGTCTTTTTTTGTAGATGTAAAACAGCTTAAGCTATTTCTATCACAAGTACTAAAAGCTGTTGCTGGTTTGTGCTTTACTACAGGGGAAACAAATTTAGCAAAACTAGATTTGCATTAAAGCAGTTTCATCCATATTTTTAAGTTAACAGAAATTGATTCATGTAATAAGACTTAAACGTTTTTTTGAAGCTATGGTATTTAGTCGCGCTTTGTCATTTAAAAACCGTCTTTTTCTTTAAGTCGGAGAAAAAATGTTTTCGGCTCACATTGTATAGTTATAAAAATATTATACTTTTTAGCGGAACTGTGGCAAGATGTGCTGATAAATATTTATAATAAGTGTTGCAACACTTATAGAGAACGTAAACCACCTCTAGGATGTTTTAAGTTGAGGAGAAAGTCGCAATATTTAATTATAATAAAGTAACAGGTTGATAAACAGTTTCTGTTCTGCGCTTGTGCGCTGTTTCCCACATGTGGTAGTGACTTGCACCGGAGCAGAAGTCTTTTCAGTTTTTTTCAGCTCCCCTGACCGTGTGTATATTTCAAGATTTCCGTAGGATTGTTTTGCATACATTTGGCCGAACGTAAGCAGAAGGTAAGATGCGGTTTTTGTACCTTAAAATTCTCACGAACCCTTAATCGAGCCTGGCTGTAGAATCCTTCGTGGCCCGCTGCACTGGGAGTTGGTGGAAGCCCCGAGCTCTCGTAGTTCACTCGCCGAGCGAAGTGCGGTGTCGGCAGGATCGAACTGGTTTCGGTAGCGCTGTTAACTGCGAGCCGTCCAAGCAGGAACGCTGGAAAGGTAATTCCATATGTCCTTAAAATGCGATATGGACACTGATTTTTCAAATAAAATGCATTTTAGAATATTTAAGAAACCCCAGTGTAAGTGTTGGGTATAAAATACCGTCAAAAACATCTTTTTCCAGTTTGGGGCAAAAGGATTAACCGATTTTAATTGAAGGTCGAGCTTAAAGGATATTTATCGAAAGTGTAAATATAGAAACCTAAGCTTGTGATTTGTTCCTTGCACAATCTTTTTCTTTAAAAACTTTA